ATTTTTAAATTTTTAAACAAAATTTGGATCAATTAAATATGAGTATATATAATTTTTATCTTTTTTCTCAAGAAACCATGAATGTTTTCCAAGCATAAACACCTAAATCTGTTTCCTATTTTTCATATTTTTAAAAAACAAGGCATTATTTCAAGAATTTGAGTGGAAGATATTATTTTTAATAATTTAGGTATAACTGGTTCACAGCATCTGAGAATTAATATCTGCCTTATGATTCATTCCCCTATGAGATAGTGCCCATTAAATGTGTTGAGTTGACAGGTGACAAAGAAAGAAAAAGTGAGTGTTGACTTGTTACTGATTGCTATGGATGGGAAATGGAGGGTAGTAGACCATGGATGACAAACCTATTCTTAGTTTGCTTATTTTTATGAAATTCTGATTACTACCATAATTATGATAAACTATGTTTTATCTAATAAAATGTTTTAAGACTTTTTAAAGACAGAGACTTTATTTTATTAGAATTTAAAAGTCATGCATTTGTGTCATATTAATAAAATTACATGTATTATTTAATAAAATATAAAGGCATGGACAAAGGAGAATTAGCTTCAAGGGATAAAGTTTCTGACATCATTGTAATTTTAAGCGTTGTGGATATTCCCGGGAAAGTTTTTGGTTGCCGGTGGGGATTTCCTCTTTACTGGATTTGGACAACATCCTCCCATTATTCACAGGAAGCAATCTCTCCTACAAAAGGGCTTCAGCAGAAGCAATGTTCAGCTCTTCTTGGCTGACTTCACATCAGAACTATTATACTGGCCTGAGACAGACGCAGTAGCGATACACACCTGAGGAACCTGACATTCAAACAATCACTCCCTAAAAACAGTAAGTACAGAATTCTTTACAAAAGCAGCCTTGGGCCATGAAACATAGATTTATTAATATGAACAGATATGCAAAAAGCCTTCTATAAATATCAGATCTGTACAAACTCTTATTGTGTTGTAGTTAAAACTTATCTTTTCTCTTTGCCTTAAATGATGAAAATCTTAAATTTTGTATTTATTCATGTGATTAAACTTCTTTAAAATAAGCAAAGATTGTGGCACTGGAACCTATTACCTTAAATCTAATGGTGCTGCCTTAAACATCACGGTAGAATGATGTAATTGGCTACCCAGGATTTCCTTCTGTAATCAATTTTGTACTTTTTCTCCCCAGGAAAGTACTTCAAGTCTAATCTTTTGGTGAAAAGAACTCTTGAAGTCATGATTGTATCACAGCTTCTCTCTGCTCTCACTTGTGGTAAGTCAGTGTTATTAGTGAGACCAGAGTTTCTCATCCTCGTACCACTGACATTTCAGACTGGAGCATTCTTTCTTGTCTGGGGCTGTCCCATGCATTGCAGAATGTCTAGCAGGATCCCTGACTGCTACCTGCAATAAGTTCTGCCCTTGGCTAGAGGCGATTTATTTCTTAGTGTTTCTGCTTCCTTAGTTGTAAATCATCGATCATAAATGACCTATTTCCCAGATGCATTATGAAGATTCGATATCATGGGTCACGTAAAGTGCCTCATACGGTACTTGGTGGTGCATATTAGGTGCTCAAGAAAGCTTAGTCATCCTGATTATTATGCTACTAAAGTGGGTATACTATTAGGTTGTGGTGGGTGAGTGCAGGTAAAGCACCTAATGGATGGCCAGTCACAAAAGAGATACCATAAGTAGCAGTTTCTTCATACATACCTCTTTTTCTTACTTTTGAAAAAGTGAAAAAAGTTTGGGTCATTCCAAAGGCCACAGTGGGCAAAAATAAGACAATAAAAAGCCTGCTTAACGGAGTTAACCCATAGTAGGACTAAACCCTACCATTTCCTTTCTATTTCCTCCCCTAGTGCTTCTCATTAAGGAGAGTGGAGCCTGGTCTTACAACGCCTCCACAGAAACCATGACTTACGAGGAGGCCAGTGAGTATTGTAAGCAGAGGTACACACACCTGGTCGCAATTCAAAACAAAGAAGAGATTGAATACCTAAACTCCATATTAAGCTATTCACCAAGTTATTACTGGATTGGAATCAGAAAAATCAATAATGTGTGGACCTGGGTAGGAACCAAGAAACCTCTGACCAAAGAGGCCACCAACTGGGCTCCAGGTGAACCCAACAATAAGCAAAACGAAGAGGACTGCGTGGAAATCTACATCCGGAGAGAAAAAGACACGGGCATGTGGAACGATGAGAGATGCAGCAAGAAGAAGCATGCCCTGTGCTACACAGGTAGGGGCTTGAGGCAGCAGCGGGCGGGCACCTTGACAAAGTTATAGTGTGCAAACATGGGTCTCTGTGGCGGTGATTATGAGTTCTAAAAGATATGATTTGAAGACATTCTGTGTAAGTGCTAAAGTATCTCTTTTTGTATCTTTGTGTGGATGTAGGCAAGAATGTATGCATATATGTATACATACACTATAGGCATATATATCGTTCTATATAGAGAGAGAACACACACACCATACATATTTTAGTTATTTGTTTATTTGTAGTAGGAGTACTGTCCTCAGAGTTTCTGATAAAGGAATTTTCTATACTTGGTGGCAGCTACACTTAGTTCCACTTCAGATATCTGTACCTTAACATCAAGATTTAAAATAGATAAGCCTGAAACCCAGATTTGGCATTTCGTAAACTTCACTTCAGTTGGAATCTCTGGAATTCGCTATCATTGCTGATGTCTTTGTTGCACACTGTTGATCCTAAGTTCAAAAGAACTCATTATAAGTGCAATGACAACCCTCACCAACATGAATTGTGTTTTCCTCAGCTGCCTGTACCAATGCGTCTTGCAGTGGCCATGGTGAATGCATAGAGACCGTCAATAACTACACGTGCAAGTGCCACCCTGGCTTCAGTGGACTCAAGTGTGAGCAGGGTAAGTCTTGTTCTCACCTCTTCCTTCACTTAGATGGTAGCACCATCTCGTGTCCTTGCTGGCTTTGAACTGCATGTCTTCTCTACCCTGTTGCATATGGTATACTCTGGTGGTTAACAGCTGTGACTACGAAGTCAGACCCTTCTGGGTTGAAACCCTAGATTCGCCAGTTATTCATTACAGCACCTTGGCAAGGAATTTAAACTCTTGGTCATAGCTTTCTTCTCATAAAATGAGGATAATAATAGTACCGACTTCATAGGACATGGTTACATAGTGCCTGGCACACAGGAAACATTCAATAAAGTGTAGTTATAGTTCCCAGTGTTCCTCCCACTTACATAAGGTGAGAGATGAGCAGCACTGATTTGGGTTTCTTTTTCAGTTGTGACCTGTAAAGCACAGGAAGACCCTGAGCATGGAAGCCTGGTTTGCACTCACCCATTCGGGAACTTCAGCTACAATTCTTCTTGCTGGGTCAGCTGTGAAAGGGGCTACGTGCCAAGCAACACGGAGGCCATGCAGTGTACATCCTCCGGAGAATGGACTGCTCCCACTCCAGCCTGCAATGGTAAATCTCTCCCAGAATGCACAGAACATTCTCCAACTCATCCCTCATTGCCTCCATTTTTTATCCAACTGATCACATTTCCAAAGCTCCAGGGAAAGTTCATTTTCTTGTTTTTAATAAAACTTGGTTCTCTCAGCCAATATATATATGACCAATCCAGTATGTGCTTGGTTTGAGAAAGGCTTTTATTCTGTTTCAAATGAGTGTATCCAAGGCTCTGGTGATTTGTGAGGGAGACCATAAAGCAGTGAAACTCTAAAAATCTTAATGACTTTCTCATTGTCTTTCCCTATTTCACTTTTCTATGCAGTGGGACTAACTTAAGATCATGATAATCAATCGGTCTTAATATTGCTTTTTTTCTCTCAATCTTATCTTTCTGGACCTGAGGCCAGAAAAAAAAAATCAATCCTTCAGGTCCTGCTGAGCTAAAATAAATGAATGTCCATGTATGTCAGGATTGTTTTTATCAAGACTAGTCACAAATCCTGAACTAGAGTCTATTATTTTCTTCATTTTTCCTTTATGTAAATGATAAAATAGATCAGAGACCTCTCATCATAGTCAAAGTAAAAGCTAATCAGAGAAGATAGAAATATCAATTTTGAAAAAAGCCAAAGCTTTATTTTGGGTATGCATGTCCCCAAGAATGGGCACAGGACTTTGGGATCTACCCTTTGAAGGCAGCTTCCTCACCCTGTTATAAACTCCAATTCAACAGAAAGTGAAAACAGCATTCTTCTGTACAATTCATGGCCTCTTTTCAATCCCCAGTGGTCGAGTGTGATGCTTTGACAACTCCTGCCAATGGGATCATGAACTGTTGGCGAAGTCCTGACAGCTCACCGTGGGACACAACCTGTGCATTTGACTGTGAGGAAGGATTTGAACTGATGGGGGCCCAGAGCCTTCAGTGTACCTCATCTGGGAATTGGGACAACGAGAGGCCAACATGTAAAGGTACAGTCGCTCCACATAAAGACTCATGAGCTTTCCTTTTCTCAGTCCATACTAGAAATGGGCAAGCCAGACCTGCTAACATGAATGGGTACATGTATGTGTTACAGCTGTGACATGCAGTGCTATCCGCCAGCCTCGGAATGGCTCTGTGAACTGTAGCAGCTCCACTGCTGAAGAGTTTTCCTTCAAGTCATCCTGCAAGTTCACCTGTGAGGAAGGCTTCATGCTGCAGGGGCCAGCCCAGGTTGAATGCACCGCGCAAGGGCAGTGGTCACAGCAGATCCCAGTCTGTGAAGGTAAGCCCAAGATCCTTTCCTTTACACTGTCCTTTCTTAAAGAGCAGCAATCTTCAAACTTGGGCAGTGAAAATGAAATCAGATGCCCACGTCGACTATAGAAATCAGATTTGGTGAGCAACACTCATCTTACATCTTTGAGATTCACTTAAAAGAACCAGTGCTTGCCGAGGGAAAGGACTGTATGTAGTAAGAGTGAATGCTTTGCTGGTTTCTTAATCGTACTGTGCTAATATCACTTTATATTATAGACATTGGCATGGAGTAGGCAGAATTCTTAAAGGAAATCATATTAGAAATTTTAAAAAACAGAATAATGAGAACATGACTTGAAACTAAAACTCTTGTCATACTTTTCTTCTGAAATGGCTGATAACTAGCAGTGATGCAAATGCTTCAAGCACGGTGTCAGTTACAGACTTAGTATCGATACATCCATAAGCACTAAAATTTAATTCACTTTAAAGCAAGAGCAAGGATACGGAAAACAAGCAGCCTTTACTATTAGGCACTGACGTTCACCTAGCCAAAGGTAGCACAGAATGATTTCCAGTGACAAAAAGTTGCAACACCAAAAGCAAACTGTAAGCAGACAAATTTTACATGGGTGTCTTCTTCTAGCCCTTTCTTTTTGGCACTATGTGTAAGCATGCAGGACCTTTAAGTTGCCCTGACTACACGCAATGTTTCTCTTGACCCTAACTCGTTTTGCATGTTAGGAGAACAGTGCTCAGGAACCAATGTCCCTGTGAAAGGCTGTCCTTTAATTAGTGCCATTATCAGTGAGGCGATTGGGATTCAAAACAACGCAGCCACCTTCCCAGTTATCCAGGGAATAGTGAAGACTCTTGAGTTCTCTGAGTGTTGCTTTGTCGCACATGAGCTGGGGTCACTCATCAAACACCAAGCACTCTCTAGATGCACCGCGATATTTTCTGACCATCATTTTGATGTCTCAGCTCTCCAGTGCACAGCCTTGTCCAGCCCAGAGGGAGGGAACATGAGTTGTCATCCCAGTGTTTCTGGAAGTTTCCAAAGTGGATCCAGCTGCGAGTTCTCCTGTCAGCAGGGATTTGTGTTGAAGGGATCCGAAAGGCTCCAGTGTGGCCCCACAGGGGAGTGGGACAGCAAGAAGCCCACATGCGAAGGTACCGCCTTTATTTTTATTTGATTTTAAGGTAAAACCTATTGAAGAGCTTAGGGGCTTGATTACCTTGAGAAACCTGTTGCTCCCTGATGTAAACAAACCACCAAAGTGTTCTCTCCTGTCTTCCAGCTGTGAAATGTGATGCTGTCCACCCACCCCCAAGGGGCTTGGTGACTTATACTCATTCTCCTACTGGAGAATTCACCTACAAGTCTACTTGTGCCTTCAGCTGTGAGCAAGGCTTTGAATTACATGGATCAGCTCAACTTGAGTGCACATCTCAGGGACAGTGGACACAGGAGGTCCCCTCCTGCCAAGGTAGGACTGAGTTCAGACTTTTGGGGAACAGCTCAAATACCTCATAAGTTTCTGAACCTAGGTTGCTCCAAGGGGCTTGATCCTAAATTTCTACATGCTAAAAATGAAGTAATGCTTATAAGTTACATGTATCGGTGCCTTTTAAAGCCAGTGTTAGAAGTTTTCCAGTAGATTTTTCTTAACCCCCACCTGTCTACCTATCCTTTTTAGCCGTACAGTGTTCAAGCCTGGCAGCTCTGGGGAAGATCAACGTGAGCTGCAGTGGGGAACCTGTGTTCGGCACCGCGTGCAAGTTTGCATGTCCTGAAGGGTGGACACTCAATGGCTCTGTGACTCTGACATGTGGTGCCACAGGACACTGGTCTGGAATGCTGCCTACCTGTGAAGGTGATACGTTGATTGATGCTGGTTGTCTGGGGGACTAAAGAGGGAAAGGGGAGCTGTCTTGCTACGGTAATTAGCTATCCATTATGTCCAAACCAGAAAGGTTTCCCAGGTTAAAAAGTTGTGAATATTTAGTTGTATGGGATAGAGAGAAAACAGAGGTGGCATGTTGACGGAATGGGTAGAAATCTGAAAGTGGGAAAAAGGAGACCTAGAGAGGAAAGGAGGAGGGGGAAATGGAAAATGAGAGAGAGAGAAAGAGAAGGCGTGGGTGGAGAGAGAGAGAACACACACACAATCACAAGCGAGTGCAGTGTTAACCAAAGTATGTGTGGTATTGTGAAAGAGCTTGGCAAATTAGAGTTCTGCCTGGCAGTGGGGGGAGAGCGCCTCCAAGGTGGTTTGGGGCAAATCGAAAAGGCCTTTAATGCAACATCTCTGCTTCACGTATTGAACTAGGTGGCTCTTCTGCTTCTAGTAATCCATGTGCAGAGAAAAGGCTAAATGGATAGGACAGAAAGACTTTAAAGTCAACTCCTTCTCATGACAGCTCTTTCCCTCTTGTTTCCTTAGCTCCCGCTGAGTCCAATACCTTGATAACTGGGCTTTCTGTTGCTGGAACCTCTATCCTGACATTAACATCATTTCTCTTCTTCCTTCTGAAATACTTGCGGAAGAAAGGTGAGGGAGTCTAAGAATGTACTCCAAAAATGTTTTTGAAAATATATTTTTTCTCATTGATGAGTCATAGTCTGTCTTAAACATTTAAACAGTAATTAGAGTCTAGTTATTAGATAAACATTAATAGACTACAGTATAATTGCTTAATTAGAAGTCTTAGGAAAAGAGTTTGTAGTACAACTACAAGTTGTACATATTTCCTAAGAGTTTTAGGAAAATAAACATGAGTTGTGCTAACTTTGTACAACTCTGGGGCAGATGTTATTCACATTAAATTTTATGGTGTCCCCGGGAGTTGTGCAATGAGACTGCCATGATTAGTGATCTCAGGAAAAGGGATAAAATGCTTCCTTAAAATATTTGTTTGGAATACAGGCTTAAATTTGGGAGTATCTCATGAGGAATATGCAAGCACGTCTGACCACACTCATGGTTCATCTGGCCTTCAGAGTACTTAAACATTTTTGAGTTAAGTTCTGACATTTACAACATAGGAAATTTCACATAAAAATTCAGATTTCAGACTTTTCATGAAAAATTAGCAGCTGAATCTGGCAAGATGACCCTGTAACTATTAGGTGGTGTGAGGAAGCGGCTGTGCCCTTCTGAGGGATGTGCGCTTTGTCTTTTACCCTAATTACCACCAAGCGGTGCTTGTGCTCTGATTATCACAGAGGCCTTAAAGCATTGTGTTTGCAACCCCCGACGAATCAAGTGTCTGGATTTGATATGACCTTAAAAGTCCTGTAGTCTGAATTAACAGTTTTCTTTCTCTTACAGTAAAGAAATTCGTTCCTTCCAGGTAAGTTGTATTCTTGTACAATGCATGCCATCGAACATTCTACACATTCTTCTCTCTTTGTGTTGGAAAACAGTGCTTTATTTAGTGCTCTCATGTATTCCACAGCAGCTGCCAGAACCTTGAATCAGAGGGAAACTACCAAATGCCTCCTGACCTCATTTAAGTTCAAAAGAATCAGGTAAGACTTGGAAATCTCTTATGGTTATAAGAGAAGTGTCCTCTCTACATGTTCTATTTCTCCTTGAATCCTCCAAACCTGACAATTTCAGGAAGGGGGCCAGAATCACCACCTTCATAGTATTTTCTAGAAAGTTGTTTCATTTCTTTGTAGAAGGAGAAGAGAGAAAAAGGATCTCGCTTTATTGAGTTATTTTATTTATGAGAGATAATAGTGATGATGATAGCTGATGCTTATATAGCACCTAGCATGTCCTAGTAACTGTTGTAGGCTAGGAACTGCATGAGATAGAGGCTACTCCTATATCCCTCATCACATGGATGAAGAAAATGATGCACACAGAGAGAAACAGATCAACTTGTCTGAAATCTCAAAGCTAGCAAGTGGTAGCCAGGATTTAAACCCAGGCAGTCTGGTTCTGGAATCCGTGTTCTTAACCATTCTACTTTGCTTTGCAAGAATTTGAAAGGGCCAAATGCTTCTGAATAAACTTTTTTTAAATTAATATTTTTTTGCATGTAGTTTTAGGTTTACAGAAAAACTGAGCAGAAAGTACAGATAGTTCCAACATCCCTCCTCACTGCCCCCTTCCAATTTCCCCTATTATTAACATCTTGCACTAGTGTTACAACTTATGGGACTTATGGGCCAATATGGATACGTTATTACTGGTTAATGTCCACATAACGTCCACAGGTTACAGCGGGATTCGGTTTGCATTGTACATTCTGTAGCTTTTGACAGATGTGTAATGGTGGACCTGTAGCCGGCATTAGTAACATGCAGAATAGTTTCACTGCCCTAACTGAATAGATTCTGATGTTCATACTTTTACTACCCCAGTGAGAGTGTGTGCAGCAGTCTGTGCTAGGAGGTGCATTTTGTTGTCGCTATCAGTATGCAGAATATTAAGTGTTCTCGTGACACGCATGCTTATATTTCCAGGAACACAGGTGCATCCAGGGAACTAGGGTCATACACTGAAGATGGCAGAGACAGAGTTCTCCTCGGGTCTCCAGCCCTTCTTGCCTACCGTACCCACTGCCTTTACAGCCGGGATCGAGGCCCCCACCACAACTTCGATGGATCCTGTGGACGAGGCCAGCCTTCCACCGAAAAGACTCCGTTTTCTCTTTCCTAGTCTCAGGATCAAGAAAGTGCTGGCTACTGAAGGGAAAGTAGCAAAGATGAAGAGGCCAAGAGTCTGGAATCTCAGATTTCCTTTTCTCACTCTCCCTTACTCACTGTGAAATCTCAGTGGGGAAACAGTATTTTGGGGCTTTGTTTCTTTCTTTTGCCCCTATCGGTGTTTCAACTGTTGATTACATAGTTGCTGTCATGGGGATGAATAATAAGTGTCAAGAGGGGGAAACAAATTGGCCCAAAAGTATTCTAACTTGAAAAAATGACAAATTTTTAATGTCCATAGGTGAGTGCTTGGGGAAGGGGGCTGCCTTTGTAAATGGTGCAAATCTTACTTAATGTTCTGTGCAAGGATTACTAAGCACAGCCTTAATTGCTTTTATCCCTATGGGATTTAATGCTTTTTAAAGGGTTCTTGAAGACTGGTTGTTTTACTTGAAGTGAATGTAGTATAATCTTTCAGAATTCTCAATTCAGTGCATGCGTAGTACGGACTTAAAAAGTTTGTAGGTGTTGTGAACTATGATAGGGTAAAAGTTCCTTACCCTTGTTTCTTAAATTATGTTACATCTGTAGTAAATTTACTTCAAAAAAGGGCAAATATTGTCCCCTAGCAAGGTGTAATGTTAACTAGTATACAGTTATGAGTGTTTTGCTATAGTTGTTTTAAAAACACTGTAGTATCAGGAGAGTAAAAACTGAATGGAGGGTTTGTATACTGTCAGGTATTTTTTCAGGAATGTGTGGTTTCCATGATGAAAAACTTTCATGAGACCAAATGTTCTGCTTTGATAAAACCATACATAAATGCAAACAAATGAAGGTACAATTTTATGAATGTCTTCGTTGAAAAAAACATGTAGAAACATGGCTGTGCTTTGCATTCCTACAAAGATGTTTGTCAGACGTGATATGTAAATATAATTTTTGTATATTACATAACATTTTAAATCCACACTAGGAACTCATCATGTAATCGATTCATCTAGTAGACTTTTAAAAAGCAAAAATATCTGATAATTATTCTCTACTTGTTTTATTCTCTATGTCAGTGTGTTCTGGAAGAGGGGGAAGCCTGTGTGAGCAAGTATTTATGTTTCTTTATAAGCCGATTTTAAAATTCCTAAGGAATCTTCAGTTGCCATTTGATCACTGGCAGTGAGAAATTCCCGTTCAGTAATTGCCAAGGCTGTTCCAGCCTCAGAGTGTGAGAATCAAAACTCTCCCACACTCCCAGTAACTTAGCTCGTATAAAAAAGGAAGGTTTCAGAGACGTGCTGAGCAGTAAACATGACCAACAGTTAACGTGGAGCATGATGAGGATCAGAACAGCGGAGGTTTTTTACGGGGCAGAACTCCAGGAAATAAGAGACAGAGAGAAAGAGAGAACAACTATTGTGATCAGGTTACATATGAATGAATTATTATTTTCTCTGAAATTATTCAAATGTAAATATTTATATATACTGCATTAGAAATAATGTGAAATATAAATGTGGTTGGAATTCGGGTTTTATAAGGTATTTTAAATTATGATTTAAAATATTTTACAGTTTTTTTAAAGTATGTATTTATTTAAACTATGTCAGTTTGGACCTATTGTATTTGATATAGCACTATAAAGCTTGATAATAAATATGTTTATATTTATCTCTTTGTACAGACTCTTTCTTAAAAATTTTATTTTATTTAGATAAAACTCACATACCATAAAATTCACCCTTTTAAAATGTACAAGACTGTACAACTATCACCACTGTCTAGCTCCAGAAGGTTTCTGTCATCCCCTGGGAAACCTGTGCCCATTAGCACTTATTTCCCATTCTTCCCTCCCCTAGAGCCCCTGGCAACTACTGATTTCCTTTCTGTCTTTATGGGTTTGCCTATTCTGGACATTTCACATAAATAGAATCATCCAACGTGTGCCCTTTTGTGTCTAACTCCTTTCACGTAGCATGTTTTCAGGGTCTGTCCATGTTGTAGCATTGATCAGTGCTTCATTCCCTTTTATGGCTGAGTAATATTCATTGTGTGGACAGACTACATTTTCTTTCTCCGTTCATCGACTGATGGACTTTGGACTGTTTCTGCTTATTGGCTATCATGAATAATACGGTTATAAATATTCATGTTCAAGTTTTTGTGTAGACTTAATGCTTTTAATTCTCTTCAATACTTAGCAGTGGAATTTTGGGGTCATACCATAACTTTATGTTTCATTTTTGAGGAACCACCCAGCTCCTTTCCAAAGAGGCTGTACCATTTCACAATCCCACAGCAGTGCACAAGGGTTCCAATTTCTCCACATTCTGGCCAATATTTATTATCGTCTACCTTTTTTATTATCGCCATCCTAATGAGTATGAAGTGGTGTATATACATAAAGGTTCTTACACTGATACTGGAAAGTTGCCTCAAAAAATATTAATAATCTAAAAAAATCATTAAGCCCAACCAGTGAAACAAGTCCTTATCCTGGAGTCTTTGCCTCATATCAGTCTCAATTCCAAGTTGCTCGAGTTAACCAACTTACCTTCATTAACACTCCAGACTCAGTTACTCTTCAGGATTAGAGCCAGAATAGTTTTTTTTTTTTCCTGCCCAAAATATGTGTCTTCTCTCTTCCGGGGTAGTGTCAATCCACAGGCTTGACATGTACCCAGCCCAAAATCACCTGAAGAATCTCATTGTTATTAAAGAATCAGAATATCTGAAATTTCTTTCTTTTTTCTGTAAGTTCTCGAGATCTGAAATATCTGAAATTTCTAAGAAAACAAGGTTTAATTTTTGACTTGGTTACCCAGGCTAAAATACGGTGGCTATAACACTAACATAGGTAAAGTTGGTTTCACTTGGATTTTATACTTCATCTTAGCTCAAAAGTATTATTTAAGAGAAAATGGAAGAAAAAATAGAAAACAAAGACAGATTCTGCTAATTAGGGCTATTTTCATGTAGGACTGAAATATGTACACATGAGCCATCAGCTCAAAACAGGAGAATGTGAATATTGGTTTTCTCATGTATGAAAAGAGAGAATAGAACAGATCAAATTTATCCAGAGGAAAAGAGGTTCCCAAGTCGAATGGACATGGGTAAGTGGGAAGCACAGAAGTGAGAATTAGGACAATTCTCAGTGTTAGCACCATGGGATTAGAATAGAGCTTTGTATATACAAAAACGTTATCTAAAAGACAAGAGCTTTTGGTCCACCTTTAGTTAGAACTAGTAAGTATAGCTTCCACCCCAAAATTTTAGCTTTTCTCTCCCAAGAGTCTAAGCCCAGAGAAACAAAAATCTTTTTCTCTTCACATATGCACATATATGTCAGATGGTGGTTTATAAATTCTTTGCACTACTAAGGAGCACAAAGCAGTAAGATAGGCCTACTGTCTTTGTTAAAAATAAGGATAAAACCACAACAGCATTTTGGTAATAATCAAGGAAATCCATCCACCCATTGATTTAGCTGACATTTATCGAGTGCAAGACATTATGCTTCTGGACACATAGAGGATTAATATTCTGAAAACCTCTACAACTACAATATTTAAAATTGCTATGTGAAGTACAATGGGTTGCTTTAAATGAAGAGCTGAATTTACAAAAAAGAATGAAAGTCTCAGACAAAAAATGCTTAGGGAGCAGGGGCCCAGATCTTGGAAGTCTGTAAGGCAGCGTAAGGACTTTAGATTTTATTATGAGTGAGTTGAGAAGCCATTGGAGGATTTTGAGCTGAAGAGTGACGTGGTCTGGCCTCTGTTGTTTGGTGTTTATTATCTTCTCCCCCTTTCTCACCAGCGCCTACCTCACCCACCATGCATTCTCATCCTGCCCTGCTCTGTGGCCCAGGAGCTGACTCCCGTGGCCTGATCATCCAATCATGGGTGGGCTGGTTCCAATTGGCTTGACTAAGAGGCATCTAAGGGAGATCAGAGGGTGAGAGGAGAGAGAGGTTAGGGTAGTTCTTAGTCACTCTCTGCCTGCCTCGGTGCTCTGTCTCTGGAAGTAGTCGTACCCTCCCTGCACTACAGCTCCTAGGGGTGGCTTTTCCTCAAGGGTTGCAGATCTCACTGAGTTTTAATAACACAATTTCCTCTCCTTGAACCTTCAACCCCCAGGGGTAGCAACAGCTTCTAGCTATTACTAGTCTCTGGATGCCTCATTTTCTTCTTGTTTGTTCTCTTAGCCTTGCCCAGTAAATGGTCCCTCCGTTAAAGGCTCTTCAATGGGTGAAAAACTTACCCATCTAGGATGCTTTATGTCTCTGGCTGGGGCCCTGAATGATATACAGTTTAATTGAACCACTTAAGTTGAGGAAAAGTTTAGAAGCATAGATTCCAGATAGGAGGTTTTTGTAATAATATAGGTGAGAGATGATAGTGGTTTGGATGCCTAGTAAAATGGAAGTGATTGAATGCTGAACGTATTTTAAAAGTAAAGCCAACAAAATTTGCTGACATACTGAATATGAATTGTGAGAAAAAGAGAGAAGTCTCAGTTAACTCCAAATGTTTTGGTCTAAGTAACTGGAAGGAAGTAGTTATAATTTACTGAGATGGGAATGGCTGTGGGAAGAGCCCTCCAGGATTGAGGAGAAATTCAGAAGTTCAGTTTAGGATATGTAAGATATCAGAGGCTTACTGAACAACTAAATGGAGATGCTGAGTAGGCATTTGGCTGCAGGGGAATGGTCCTGGCTGGAAATATAAATTTGGAAGTCAATAGCATTTAGATGGTCAAAGTTACGAGAGTGGATTGGATCACCCAGTCAGTGAGGGTAGATAAAGAAGAGAAAAGCAGTGATCCCTGGAATTCTCCAAAGGTTTGGAGGTTGGGGAGATAAGGGACATTCAACACATGAAATAGAGAGGGAACAGCCATTGAAGTAGGAAGAAAACAGGAGCTTCCTGGTGAAATAAAATGAGAATAGGGGATAGGTTTTTAGTGTTAGTGAAGTGTAGGACCTTGGTAGGAGCCATCTCAGTGTATTGGTGTGGTTGAAAGCCTGATTGGCCAAGGTTCAAGAGAGAAGTAGAGGAGAGGACTCAGAAAAACAAGTCCAGACATTTCTTTCAGGGCATAGTAGGAGCATTGACACTTTCAGACCCATGAGAGTTTTGTCTCTGCTTTGCCATGTCTTCGAAACTCCTGCCAGAAGTTCAGCTCAATGATCAAGAGCTCAGGCTTTGGAACTGACTGACCTAGGTTCAAAACCCCACTGTGTCTCTCACTAGCTATGTGACTAAGGCAACTATCTTAACCTCTTTGAGACTCTAAAATGGGGATAATAATAGTAGCTACAGTGGAATGCTGTTCTAAAGATTAAATAAAGCAATAATTATGGGGGGCTGAGCTCTATAGCTATTATTGTTACTATTATTATCTTTCTAAAAATGAAAATCTGATTATGTCAGTGACTCTTTCTTCTGATTGTCCTTCATCATACCTGCCTTAACTTCATATGCAGTCTCATCTCCTTCACGTGTTACACTCCAGGAATACAAGGACAAAAAGCTCTCTTCAGGGCTTTAGGCAGTGCCATTAACAAGGACCTCCACTAGGTGGTGAGCAAGGAAAGAGGGACGAGAAGGAACTGAAATTGGTCAGGTGTGCTAGTGAGCGCTATTGAAGTTTGGCAGGCGTCATAAATGTGTCCAAAACACAGTTTTGACTTGTGTTGTTTGCAATTTCCAGGGGCCATCTACCACAGGTAGCCAAGAGTTAGCCCAGTATTTATGAAAAAGTAGATGGGGATGGAACAGAAGGAGGAGGACGGGAAGGAGAACAAGAACAAAACAAGAAGAACAAGAAGATGGAGAAGAAGAGGAGAAGAATGGGAAGGTGGAGGAGGAAAAAGAAGAGGAGGAAGGAAAAAAAGAGCAACAACAATAAGGGGAGGGGGAGGAGGAGAGAAAGATGAGGAGGAAGGATGGAAAGACAAAAGAAGGGAAGGTGGGAAGGAAGAGAGAATCTAGTCAACATCTTCCTGGCCAGAAGCTCGTTTTCTCTCAGGAGAGGTGATGGAGGCCAGTCTAGGAAAGGGGTGGGGAAGGAGGAGAGAGAAGAGGAGGAGGAAGGGGAGGGTGAAGGAGGGGGGAGGATGTGGGACTGGGTTAGAGAAATGAAAGAAAGCAAGCCTTTCTGGTGACACTCAGTGTGGCCTCCCTGCAGCACAGCAGACTCCCCTGGGCAAGGGCCCAGAGACCCGTGGTGCTGAGTCCACAGGTGGAAGGGCTGCGGACGACTAGGGAAGGACCAAGCAAAGCCATGGTGAGCCTTTCAGTCGAAATGATTTCAGATACTCAGAGACTCTTGGGGTTGTAGATGCAGGTGGCAAGGGGCAACCCATTTTATTTTTGGTTAAGAAAGATAGAAACTAAAAATGCTCTCAGAGTCTGTAAAAGTGTTCCTAGAATCTTTCCTCTCAATGTGCTGATTTCCTCTCCTTAACTTTGCCCCTGGTGGGACTTTTGCGGAGAGGTACTGGTGAAATCAGTACTTTTACAACTAAATAATGTGTTTACCTGAGAAGTGATATACTTCAGAAAATAAGGTTTTAAGATGTGCAGAAGAGCTGTGATTTTGTCATTTTAATTGCTAAAATGTGTATTTCTTTTTATTTGAAAAAAAATGACCTGCTTTTTCTTTGCTGGTGTCTGTTTGGCTATCTCGTTTTTTTAGGTATTTGAGGCATTGACACATTATGGTCAAGTGTGGGGTTATAACATTAAATATAAACATCAATAGTTCATTAAGTACTAAGAACACTTTTAAAAATATACATGCTGAATATTAAATAGTTTGACCTAACAGCTCAGAAGGAAAGCAGGTACAAAAACTACTAAAATGTAGAAAAAAATTAAAGCAGTGATGATTAGCAACTTGACACTAAAACATGAAAATAAAATAAAACAACAAAACTCTGCATCAGTTTTGATGTAAATTTGAAGCTACTTTTCCCCCAATGCCTGAGAAATCTATTACTGTAGCAGATTTAGTAGCAGACATGTGTGTTTTATTTCGAATATTAAGAAAGTTGTAGTATCACCTCAAAGTGCTGCAAACGTGTGGTTTAAGAGTATAAGTACAATTTTGTGTTTTGTTTGCAGATGTTTCTATGGAAATGTCAGGGCACTCAGAGGGACTTATGGAACATCTTCAAGTTGTGGGTCTGCACAATGCTCTGTTGTGGTATGTTATGATATTTATATATTGCTAAGCCTTTTTTACGTGTGTTTATTTTTCTTAAATGTCTACTGAGTGTACATAGTCGCAGGGAATATTATTAGGTAGATAGTTGTTAATTCTATCCTTTCTATGAGCATCTCTTTTCTTACTCTTACCTTTAGTTCTTCCCCAGAAACCTAGGAGGTTAGGAAGTTAGAATTTTTTTACCTGCCATATCCCTGGCTGTAGGGTTCCGATCATGACAGTCCCACAAAAGCCTTCAATTATGAAGGAGTAAAGTTAATTAAGAAATCACTAATAAGGCACTTACAATCTGTACCAAATATTTAGCACTCTATTTTCTATTTTTTATTAATAGTTCAGTGTGAATCAATATCATGTCTATAATTATAGTGCGAGCTCCTTAAGGGCTTTATATCTTTTTGGTCCTTCTTTCATTGATGTGACAAGTTTTATGTCTGAATTTTGAAGACTTTCCAGTAATAGCTTCGAGCTTTCCTTCCCATTTATTAACTAAGCTCCTTCTTCTTACTTCCTAGCTTGGATTTTCAGCTCTGGCCAAACAAACATCCTTACTCTGCCCCTCACACATTCCTTATACCATGCCTGCCTTGTGCCACATGGGAACCTAGTGCTGTTTCATTCAACAAGTATTTTCTTAGTCCCTGCAGCAGCAAACCCTATTCTAGACACTGAGGACACAGCAGGGGACACGACAGTCTCTTCCCCCTTATAACTTATAGTCTAGTGGAATGTTCCTTCAAAACTCCGCTCAAAGTGTTTATTTTATGATGTTCTTTACCCATTAATCATATCTGTTTCTACGTTTTCTGTTCATTTCTGGTATACTTGATTTGATTAAGATTATGTATTTTTTCCATCTGTTATTCTTTGTTCAGAATCCTTAGGAAACTGTAAGAATTGAATCTGTATTCTTTTTGATATTTTTACAGTGTACCTGCCCTGCACAGTAAAAACTCGTAAATGTTGATGGCTATGAAAACTTTTACCTTACTGTATCATAGTGGCTTGCACAGATCACACCATGCTTAGAATGGTGTACATTATTATGGAGTCATTATGTAATTATGTGTTTAATTAGGTTTCTTCAAAGCCCTCACATTTGAAGCACCATATGTTTATTAAACACCATCAGTTGAATATCCTCATGTCTAGAACATGGTATGTCGTAATCCTACATCACTTGGTTTTGTAAATTGTTCTTTTTTTATTGTGCAATTAGATATATAAGGCTTGGGTTGTCTATAGAGACTTTCCCAGAGGCAGTTCTTTCTGTGGTAACATATTATCTTTTTGATATGAAAGAGATTACTTAACAGTATGTCATTGTTCTTCTTGTCTTTATTTTGCTTCTCCCTTGGGTATATATATATATATATATATATATATATATATATATATATATATATATGTTGGCCTTCCTGAAATTATCCCAGGATAAAAAAGTAGATTGTAAATTTTAGAGTTATTTGATATTATACTTTAAATGATTGACAGCCACTAAGAAAAAGAAATATGAATTTCTAAAATATGTTGCTTAAACTTCAATTGAAAGAATTTTGAGAAAAAATATTGTGAAAATAAATCTAGAAAGCTACCAAATTTGTCTGAAATAGACCCATGGGTAAAAAGCATTCTATCTTCAAGCTAGAAGGTCTAGATTCTACTTCAAATCTGCAAACGACTTATTCTCGGATCCTGAGATGAGTACTTACACTGTAGGCCCAGCCTGGATTAGGGCTAGGTTCTTTTCAGCTGTAACATCATGTGAGTCTACATAGTTCACAATCTGATGTCTTTCAGATTTCCTGGCATATCATGGAACCAACTGCTGGACTTACCATTATTCTGAAAAACCCATGAACTGGGCAAGGGCTAGAAAGTTCTGCCAAGAAAATTACACGGATTTGGTTGCCATACAGAACAAGGGGGAAATCGAGTACCTGGAGAAGACGCTGCCTTTCAGTCGTTCTTACTACTGGATAGGAATCCGCAAGGTGGGAGGGATATGGACGTGGGTGGGAACCAACAAGTCTCTTACTAAAGAAGCGGAGAACTGGGGCGACGGGGAGCCCAACAACAAGAAGAGCAAGGAGGACTGCGTGGAGATCTACATCAAAAGGCCCAAAGACGCGGGAAAATGGAACGACGATGCCTGCCACAAACCGAAGGCAGCCCTCTGTTACACAGGTAGGGGGTGACCAACGGCTCCGCTACCTCAGATTCAGGAAGGACCAGAGTTAAGAGAATAACCAGATTAACCCCACAGAAATGCTGAGGACTGAGAACAGTTGCTAGTTCATTCTAAAATACTTCCAGTCCTCCATAGAAGCTTGAATCATGGCACTTCCGAGCACTTTTGATGTGTAAGCAAGTCCCTACACCCAAAAACTATAGCCCTAAATCAAGTTACATCATGGTGATAAGTATGTATGGGAAGTAAGGAGGAAGAACGAGACAATTGGTGCCCCTGATAGGGCCGGGGAGTGGAAGCAGAGAGCTGGGGCCAGTTGGGGGCGTCACCTTAGTCTCCTCATTGCGAAGTAGGGAGCTTGGTGCTGTGTGTTTCCTTCTTGGCCTAATCTTATATAATTCTATATAATGAAACATTGCACTATCTTCGGTATATGAAAACTTTTATAAAATCTCATATAACAATTCCAAAATAGAATTTTTCCAAGTCATATTTTAACAGTGAAACATAGTTAATTTGGTCTCTTATAATTTGGGCTTTATTATTTTAGCAAGTTTGGATTTTTAATCTTAGTGCTTTCTATAAAGAAAGGGATTACCAAGCAATGATTGCCCACAGAAACAATTAAGGTCAGGTCATGATTTAACTGCTTGTTACATTAAAAAACAAGTAATTTCAAGAGTTTCAATGTATGCTACTAAGTTTCATTATAAATGTTATGGAGTATTAGTATCAGTAATTTCATTCTAAAAGCAAATAATTGTCTATGGCTATATGCCTAGTATATTCCATAAATAAAAATTTTAACATATGATTTTTATGCAAAAAATGCAATAATGTACAAATAAACCTTTCCTGTTTATTAAAATAGTCTCAGACAAAAAAATTATTTCTAAAGAAATGACTATGAGTACTGAAATATAATCTCATTAAAATTCTTTTTTTCTGATCTCCTTAAAGCTTCTTGCCAGCCCTGGTCATGCAGTGGCCATGGGGAATGTGTGGAAACCATCAATAATTACACCTGCAACTGTGATGTAGGGTACTATGGGCCCCAGTGTCAGTTTGGTAAGTCTCTTCCCTTTCTTTGTTTCTTCCGATGTAAAGACACAGGAATCATTGTAGCTTATGATGGAAGTTGGTTAGAATGAAATGATATTAGCCATTCTGAGAAATGGGAAGTTTTGACAAGAAAGCTCTGTTTCACAATGTTGTTCCCTTTCCGTAAAGATTTCATAAGTCAGCATGAAGTTTCAATTCATCTCTCAACAAGTCTTTTTAAGTACCACAAGGAACACGGTGTTGGGACAAAAGCTGTAAGGGTTACAATAAAAGGAATTGGGCATGGTGGATTCCTGCTCTGAAGAAGCTCACACTTTAGTGAGCTCATTAGATTAATTAGAACTCTAAAGTCTGAAAGAATCTATACTACTTATCATTAGGAAGGTGAGTTACCCAGAAGGCAATCGTGCTTTTTCCTTCTAGTAACATTAGAATACTCACAGTTCTTCACATTTATGCTATGAGCTGTGTGTCTCATGACTCTGCTCACGGCCTTCTCTCTCATTCTGAACACGGCTAACACACCTGTTCATCTTTAAGACATAGTTCAGAGACCATTCCCTCCAAGAAGCTTTCTTTGGACCCCAAGACAGGCTAAGTGTCCCTATTCTGTGTTCTGATAGTTTCACATATTTCTTTCCGATTTCTCCTGCATTTCTTGAAGTCACCTGTTTACTTATTCATCTACCCTGATATTGAAAGCATCTTGAGACCAGTAAGTGTCCTATTTATCATTACATCTGTGGGATTCGGACTATGCCTGGAATATATCAGGCTCTTGCTTGTGAGCTTGGATTGAGTTGGACAATATAATTTTTTTAAAAGCAATAAATTTGAAAAGAATAAAGAATTAAAGCCAAAATAAATTTAAATGTCAATCAACTGCAATAGATCTAACTCATTGCACTCAATCCCTGAGCTGTGAATTTTTCCCAGTACTTTACCCTCCCCTATTCCCGAACTTTATGTTTTAATTGTTGTATCGTTAGTATGCCCATTTCACTACTTTCTGAACATTTTACTCTTTTCTGGTTCTCTTCCTATCTGTGATCGTTTCTCCTGAAATCCTTTGTGGGCACTTATCCATGTCCAAAAGCTATTATGTTTTCTCAGCCTTTCTATAATACCTTGTCTGTTTCTCTTCTGACTCTACATGTCTCCCTTGGTCAAACTTACCGACTTTTGTAGACTCGCAAATCTATGTGATCTTTGGTCTGACAAATCTGTCTCCAGCCCTGAACTTCAAATATGCTAAGGATAGCCTTTGGTATTTCTCAAAGGCTATAAAATCAATTGTCCCCAGCCTGCTTTCCCTAGTGTATTCCTTTTCTCAGTATGTGGAACCACCATTTACATGGGCATGCCGGTATGAGACTCTCTTACTGCCCCCAACATTTATGCAAAGTAGCATAAATTTTTTAACTTATTATTTTTCTAATTTGTCTCCTACTTGTCAGCTCTACTACCATTGCCCTCATTATCTTCCTCCTAGATTATTGCAATAGTCTCCTAGATGAGTTCCACAACTTTAAATTAGCATCCCTCAACTATGTTATTCATACTACAGGCAGACTGATCAATTAAAAGCAATTGAAACACATCACACATATGTGACCATCCACCCTTGAATTTATACCTATCATTAGTCCTACAGGATGAAATCTCCTCCAGACCTAGAGGAATGCTTGATATATAATAGATGCTCTTATATCAATGAAAAAAAGATAAGATCATTTTGTCTCAGCTCCTATCTTTCTCTCTAATCTCATATCATTCCCAACTTTAATTTGGACTTGTATTGTGTACAGAAAATACAAAAGTTCTTCTAATTCCTCGAGTTCATTATTCACTGAAATCTCCATGTAATGTCACAATGATGGCTTAAATTTGACAGATAAGGAATAAGACATAAGAATTGTGATATTTGCCCATATAGCATGGCAGGGTCTAAAATATGAAAATTTTGATTTCCCAAGTCTTAATTTTTAAATTTTTTTTATTTCTGCATATTATGGGGGTACAAATGTTTACATTATGTATGTTCCCCTTGCCCACCCTCCCCCCACCCGAGTCAGAGCTTCAAGCATGTCCATCCCCGAGACAGTGCACATCGCACTCATTATGTATGTGTATATCCTCCCCTCCTTCCCCTTCCCATCTGCCCGACGTCCAATAAATGTTATTCCTATATGTGCACTTAGGTGTTGATCAGTGGAACCAATTTGATGGTGAGTACATGTGGTGCTTATTGGGTTCCAGAACTATCCAGGAAAATACAAGAAGTGCTATATCACCATTGTTTCTTATAGCTGAATAGTACTCCATGGTATATATATACCACATTTTATTAATCCACTCATGTATTCATGGCCCTTGGGTTGTTTCCACCTCTTTGCAATTGTGAATTGTGCCTCTATAAACATTCGAGTGCAGAAGTCTTTTTTATAGAGTGTCTTTTGTTCTTTTGGGTAGATGCCCAGTAATGGGATTGCTGGATCAAATGGTAGATCTATTTGTATCTCTTTAAGGTATCTCCATATTGCTTTCCACAGAGGTTGCACTAGTTTGCAGTCCCCCAAGTCTTAATTTTATTTACTGTACTACCAATCACAGAAGGGAAATAGATACAGTTTCTGGAGAGGGTTGTCAAAATTAGATGAGCTAAAGTTCTGGAACTGCTCTAGAGAGGGTGAAGATAGAATTGAGGGCAAGATGCTTTCTAAGCTTTATCTTCTCCCCTTGCAAAGAAGACTGATTTTGGAGACCCATTCTTTCTCTGAACCTCTTACTGTCAATACTCTAGTATATTCTGGGGCATTGATGTAATAGTTGTTTTCCAACTGAGCTGGAAATTCCCACTTAGACTTACCTGGGTTTAAAAATTCTCTCCCCCGATGATGCCAAAGACAATAATATGAAGACTAGCTAATGATTAATTAGGACTTCTTATGAGTCAGGCTCTAAGTCTTTGACTTACATTAATTGAATTGCATTAATTGAATTAATTGACTTACATTAATTGAATTTAGTTCCCACATCAACTCTATAAAGTTAATACAATCATCATTATTCTTCTTTTATAGATGAAGAAACTGAAGCTGGAGGGTTTAGGTAGCCATGCTTAAAGGCACATGGCCATCAAGTGGTAGAGCTAGGATTAAAATTCAGGCATCAGGCCCTCTAACACTTCCCAATGTTATTTCCTTTCTTATTGAAGTGACTCAGTGTGAGCCTTTGGAGGCCCCAGAGCTGGGTACCATGACCTGTATTCACCCTTTGGGAGACTTCCTCTTCAGCTCATGGTGTGCCTTCAACTGCTCGGAGGGAACAAACTTAATTGGGATTGAAGAAACCACTTGTGGACCATTTGGAAACTGGTCATCTCTAGAACCAACCTGTGAAGGTGAGTAACTTCAGAGTAGAGGCTTTGTCACGGCAGTCCTGCATTTACAGTCTGAGAACATTCAGTGGAGTCTTGCTAAGAAGTCTATATTCTCTTTTGGAGAATAGTTTGACTTAACTTAGATTATTATACTGTGATGCTTCTCAAAGGGGTAATTCTTACTCAAGTTAAAAAAAAAATTCCCAAGCAAAAAATAAAAACTTCTGAAGCCATTTCATAGTGTGTAAAATAACTCACAGTAATACAGCATGGTTGTAGTACATTTTTTTATTTTTCTCATTGCCATGGTATAAATAACCAATCTTGCTGAACCCCAGTTAAATTCTGGTTACTCTCCTTTCAATAACACCTATTTTATGTGGTGTCTTACTTAAATCAACCAGTTTCCTTCTCAGGGGAATAGAAAGAAGTCTTTCTTGATTGTTTTATTTTGTTTATGCTTAAAGTCATCTTTTACTTTTCCTTCTGCATGAACTCTTGGGAGAATAACAGTTGCTGTGAAAAACAAAAACACAATTTCTTGACCTTTGTAAATTTGAAACATGGTAGGTTTTTCTCCTTTTTAACTGCCAAGGTTATCCTCTTTGGGGAGAAAATTGGTGGCATCTGAATCTGTGAAGTTTTGGTTATATTTTCTGCGTTTATGCTCCTGACTCACTAGCTTACGTATTAAATAGTTTAATTCTTGAAAGTACTATCAAAATCCACTATTCAAATCATAGAACTAAATCGACCCACCTACAAAATTTTACAGAAGTTGGACTTGCTTCGGAGAATTGGGATGTTTTCCCAAGATGCTTGGGTAGACTTTAGGACAGGTGAGAAGGTGGAAATTCTCTGCATTCACTGAGAATATTCCGTAGGAGCCCTTGAGACAGAGGTCATGTGGCATGGCACTTCCAGCAGAGTTGGAGGGTCACCACAGCTGAGCAGCCTGCAGCAACCATCCTTCCCCACCACGGGCTCTCAGTACTCTCTTGGCTTCATCCCTGACTCACCACCCACCATCATGTTCAAGAAGATGAAGTCTGGACGCATTATCAGAAGTAATTTCTAGGAATTAGGAATTTCTAGATTCATGAGAACAGTTCCACAGTTGAGTCAGATAGCTTTGGCTAAAAAATCTTTGGTCAAGGGAGGGTGTCTGTTTAGAAATACTTGTTTTTCCTTCTCATTGAAGTGATCCAGTGTGAGCCTCTATCAGCACCAGATTTGGGGACAATGCACTGTAGCCACCCCCTGGCCAACTACAGCTTTTCCTCTGCATGCACCTTCAGCTGCTCAGAAGGAACTGAGTTAATCGGGGAGAAGAAAACTATTTGTGAATCATCTGGAATCTGGTCAAGCCCTAGTTCAATATGTCAAAGTGAGTAAGTTTGTCCCAATATACTGAAGGTTTAAAGATGGAGTTGATGGATGAGTAGATGGTGGGGACAGATATAGTACACTTTTAAATTTTGTTTTGCTAAAGATATGTGGCCTAAAAATAAATATATATGCATTAACGTACTATAAAATCTTTGGCTGTTCTTTCCTACTCCATAACTCTCAAAATCTAAACCCACTGTCTCTACTGATTTATTTCTTATCTATTATCAACCTACTTCTCTGTTGGACCATTGGAACGCCTCTGCAAAGGTCACCAGTGACCATCTAATTCCCAAAATGGTGGATACTTCTCAATTATCACTAAGTGATACTTTCCAAATCTGTGCATGCATGAGAAGGACCACGTCTTCTTCTTCTTTGTATACCCTCCACCTGACACAGTGCCTGGCAGTAGGTGCTAAAACAAATGCATGTTAAATTAGCATGTGAAAGAATGGCTACCTATGTCTGCCCCTGAGACCATCTGCATGGATAACAAAGTCTTTAAATGGTGGGATCTGTAGAGGCTATTGGAGAAGCTGATCTCTGTGTGCCCAGGGCCAGAGAGTAGAGTAGGAGAGCAGAGAGGGGTGGGATGGGGGGGGGACCTGTAGCAGAGGACTGAATGTCAGGCCCATCAGGGACATTTCCTGTGAAAGCCCAGTTAGTGCCCATTTCCTCCTTGTCTTCATCGAGCCAATAGGTGTCTTCTGTGTGATGCCTTTGGGAACCTGAGCTGTCTCTCCATTATACACTAGGGTGTGTGATGGAAACACCTTGAAAGAGCTCATCAAAGTAACAAAGAGTTAGGGATACTGTCAGATCCAGTGCCAATATGTGAAAGTAGGTTTCTTCAAATGGTGACATTGGAAGACAGATATTTTTCATATCAGTATTTTTTCAGCCAAGGCCCCCAAGGGAACTTAGTTCATGTTTACAAAAGGATGTACGGATATGTTCTTTTACTTAATTGTGAAGGAAGTGGAGGGAAGTGGTGGGACTGTACCATTTGAAAGTTAGATTAGTGCAGGTCCTTGGCATGTAAAGTGCTTATTTTTGTATAACTGCTTTAAAGTAAAAGCATTAGTAGCTCCATTTGACTGACAAGTTATCCAGTTCAGATCACTGGATTTTATTTTTCCTGAAGTTGTATTAGGCTTTTTAGCTTTTCTCTGTGTTCCAGAATTCCAACGATCAAACAAAATGGAGCTAAGTATAGTGATGACCACCTCTTGCCAAGATTTTTAGATACATCCCAGGAATTCCATGCATACACATCTGGGGATTGAGATTCTACCTGCATTGGGATAATGAGCCTAGTCCAGTCCAGTCTTTGCCCCTGCTGTAGTCTCCTCATGGGCCGTCCCTCACCAGCTTCCTCATCTGTCAAATAGCACCAAATGGGCTATTGTTGTGAGACGTAAGGAGGGAAAAATTCAAATATCCTGAGATGGACTAAGGAAATAATGCTCATGGTCTCATGCTTTGTGCCTTACTGGTTTCTCTTTCAGAATTGGATAGAAGTTTCTCAATGATCAAGGAGGGTGACTATAACCCCCTCTTCATTCCAGTAGCAGTCATGGTTACTGCGTTCTCTGGGTTGATGTTTATCATTTGGTTGGCAAGGAGATTAAGAAAAGGTATGTGAGTTTAACTTCATATGAAAATAATATGACTTTAAAGTGAAAAAAAAAAAAAACCCTACAGGAAATTAAGTGCAATAGATTCAATTGAAGCAGGATGCCAGGTTTTATTTTCTACAGACATCAGTCCCTGGAGGCACGTAAATTAGTCCAGTACACTCCTTCATGAAAACAAGCTGGCTGGTTTTTGCTTTTTATCTGACAAAACTTTTTAAAATGCCTATTATCTTTAAGACCTCTTGCTAGGGTGATAATAAATGAGATATTCTAATGGTTCTTTGCTCTTATTTAATTCTGAAAAAAGGATACATAATCTCTGTCCTCTAAGAGGCTACATGCCCTGGATTTCAGTGCTATAATTCCACTAAGAAATGAATCTAATGTCCACTAAGGTTTTCAAGGCACTGTTCCCAAATACCTGACCTCTTGAAGAGTCACATACATGCCAGGCTCCTGACACATGGGAGTTGCCTTCACCCTGGGAGAAATCCCCATGTGTTCTCCCCAGTGTCTATTCACCAAGGCCACAGCGTATATGCACTGTATATGCTTTCCCTCCATCCTGGACTGGAGAAGAAAAGGGAAGAAGGAAGACTTCCTAGAGAAGTTAATATCTGCTGCCTGGAATAGTAGATAGAATTCTACCAGAGAAGAACGACGGTATCACTTTCCTCAACTCCCCTTGAGTGTGTCCAAGCCTTAAAGTGGGACCAGCCCACCAGTGACAGACCCACAGTCTGCAGCAAGCCTGGGGTGTGCACTGCCACACTTGGCCAAACTTGCCTGGCAGAACCATTCAAGACTGGACATTAGACATTGGGCAGCTTTTAAGATATCCCTGTTTCAAGTTCAGGGACCATGAATGACCTCAAAATAACTGCTAACCAACTGCTCTGTGCTGCCTTTCTGTGGGGTCAGTCGATTGCCATTTTGATTTCACTTCCTTCTAATTAGTTGGTATGTATTCTGTTCACTGAATACAATATGCAAAGCGTGCCCTCTGTCCATCTGCACTGGCAGTTACAGAAATACTATCTATCAATCCTTAGTGGTCTTCCATTCAATCTGATCTTTCATCACAATTTCAGAATAGAGGGTGCTAGCTTAGTTTTCTAACCAATCCAGAAAGACAATGGGGGGTGGCACTGCTGATGTGCAAGACCTTCATTAACCACAACCTGAGATCACTGAGTAGTGAAAATGTCTCCACTCCTGCTCTTAGTTAGAGATTCTGTAGGGATTGCATCCCACCATATTAGAGTACTAGACAGCACTCAGTCCTTAAGTACTGCATTAAGGCAAAAGAAAAATGAAATTTTTCCCCACCATCGATTATCTTTTCCATTGAGACTTCAAAGCCAGTTGCCAACCATTCTTTCTTTCTTCCTACCTTGAGCAATGATGGCAGACCTGAGGGCTAGAGAATAGAGTGGGTAATTACACACCACCCCCTGGGATAAGGTGGCTACTATCTAAAAACTTTAAGGACTTTGGAGCTCTAAGTCACCTTAATGAGGAGGATATGTATTCCCAAATCCCCAAATCTTTTAATACATGTTTGCAGAACCAAAGTCATGTGTATTTAGTGAGGGCCTAGGTGGCTAAGGCTGTTTTAGAATCAGGGGTGAGAACAGAAGTAGGGTTGTTTTTAAATTTTTTATCTTGGTGTCATTTCTGTACAAGATCTCAAACCGATAACTTGAAAATTGCCTGCTCCTGCTGTGGGAATCAGTGTGGCGCAAACAGGAAACAGATAACGGGCAGTTAGGCTCGTTACAGTCATGCCAACAAAGAGACCAGAAGCCCCAAAAAGATCACTGACTGTGTAGGAAAGTCAGGGCACCTGTAACATAACATTTAAATTGTCTTCATTTGTGAAGCATCTTCCACTATCTCTAAATTACAGATGATTTTGTCTTCCAAAAATTTTAGTTGTTAAGTTGGTTCTTTAAAAACACAAAAGATATTTTTTCCTATAGAGACAATGGTAGAAATGATGGCTAGGTGCCCAGGCTAAACCTAAGAGCTTTTCTAAGATAAAATGTAGCTCATGCATTTACAGGGATAAAAGTAAAAAATTATAAATCTGCATTTATGCAGAATTCATCTATTATGAGAATTTTATAGGCTTTATTGGGTTCCAAAAGCTAGAAAAAGTGGACAGGTAAATATTTAGGGCGTGGTAGCCAATGAAGTGACCAGAATCCTAACCCCTGCTCTTTTGTCCTCAGATGGATCTTCTGAAACTGGCACTTTGGCCTTTGCCCTGGTAGTCTTGGTATCCAGACTTTAGGTCCTTTCTTCTAGGAAAAGAATAAGGGAGGGCTCCAGAAACATGTTCCCCTGTGCATGTGCTCCTCTAGAAACACTTTGTGCTCCTAGCATTATTATTCTCTGATTAGTCACTAACACTGGTAAATAAGGTTAATTGACTACTTGTTCGCTAAATGAGGAAATGGAGGCAATGGTGTTTTAGATCAAATCTCTAAAATCCCATGTTGACAGATGCCAGAGTCAGCGATTAGACTCCTACCCAGATATGTCCCCTAAAACCATCATGAGACTCTGTTTTTCTCCTCGGTTGGAAGAATTCTCCCCCTGAATCAACACACAGGTTTAGAACAGGGCATGAAACTGAACACATACCCCTTAGTTCCCTTTTCTTTCAAAAGAAACCCTCTCAGTAGGAACAGATTCTTGCTGATCTATTGTTTCATCATTCCTAAAAGAAAAAAATACTCACATGAAGATAAACAAATAGAACTTGAAATTAATTGATACTTGATTGTCCTTGCACAAGTGCATTTGGTCCATGTCATCAGCAGGCTAGATTTTGGAAGAAAACATCTAAAATAGTAATTTCTAACACTTTAAACAATTAAAACAGTAACTGAGCACTGTCTAAGTGCTAGGCCCTGGCCTAAATGTTTTGAATGTATTTTAGTTTGTCAACCCAATGAGGAAGATATAAATACTGTACCCTTTTTACAGATGAAGAAATTGTGGTTTAGAGAAGATAAGCTGTTCAAAGACACACTACACTGCAGATGGCAAAACGGGGCTTGCACTTGGGTGCGAATAATGCTAGAGCTCCGGCTGACAGCCACTGAAATATATTGCCTCCCACATGATCATTTCTCCTCGAAGAGCTTCTTTCTAAATAAAATTATCAACTTATTTACATTCTGCTTTTTTTAAAAAATGTAAGACAATACAAAATACATTTAGTATATCAAATTAAAATTATTTAAAAAGTAAGAAAAAAAGCCAAATTTAAGTTTAGGGTACAAAAATAAGTACCCAAATTGAAGTCAGGGCACAAAAATGAGTGTCACAAAGTCCTACACGATTGATGGAAGAGGGTCTCAGATCCGGCTCTCAGTTTCCTTGCGGCCAGTCAACGAAGGAAGCATAACCGGTTGTGATATTTGCTGTGATTGTAAGATAAAAACACATTAGTGACTTAGATGAGGCTGTGACATTCCTACCAGTGAGGCCAGAATGAAATTCTCGTGGATTCACACAGAGAAGGTGCCGTGGGACGTAATGTATCTCACTGTATTAGCCGCTAAGTCCCCTACGGGAGGAATCTGCAGGTAACATGAGACAGCAAGTTGGGAAGGGATAAACACATGAATGCGCATGTTGGTCTGGCCACCAGGCAATTCAGCCTGGACTTCTGTCTTTAAGAGCGGCACAGAGAATGGACTAGAACCCCAAGAGGCATCTGCACCAACACACATGTTCTATTTGAGTATCTGCCACTATTTGAATTAGAACATTAAGCCAGTATCTCAAATCGCCTTAGACACAGGTAGGGTCCCCCTAACAAAAGAGAGTTTTGAGGGTGGAGATCTCCCTTTTCCCTTTCTTTAAAAATTTAAATTGTCTGTTTTTTGCTAATGCCATTTCTCTATTTTCTGTTCTATTTTTAGGCAAGAAATCTCAGAAGAGGTAAGTTTTATCGATGGCGAGGAGTTTCCACATCTGTTGATCCCTTCTCTGCCTTCCTTGAGATACTTCCTGTTATAGCCAGACACATTAACCTCATAGTAGCTATTTATATGGGGTCCTTGTTTAAATGAAGTTTCCAGATAAGGTGATAAATCTGTTAGCTTCCCTTAAAAGCTGTGTTTTTTGGTGCTAGTGGAGCTGAATAAATGAACAAATGAACAAGTAATATCCCATTAGGAAAGGGAGGTTTGTGTAAAGGGAACTTTTCCTGATTGTCTCAGAATTGTCTTTGAGGGTTAGAAGCATGTGATATGTTTCTTCTTGTGCATTGAGGCTCTAAATACAGTATCCAAGAAACATTCAGTTCGACTAGCGCTTATTGAGAAACTCATGTGTGCTGCCTCCTAAGAAGAAGATACATCTCCAGACCCTAGGCCCTCAATGCCTGACACAAAAGGGTAAACCACTGTGGCTCTAGTAAGTATTGGCCCTCAGAAATGTGGAAAAAGGTAGGGAGCATAAATTCTACCTACTGTCTTCACAGAGACGCAATTATTTTTCAGTTTGGTCTTGAAGCTTAGATTTCTTCAATTGGAGAAATAGCATACCGAGAAAAGATGTAGACATCTGGCAGAAATGAAGATGGCAAAATATTTCTCTTTCAAAGATTTAGTGACTTGCTTTAACATTTTAGGAAGGAGAATGTAAGTAAAAAGAACTATGTAAATGAGACTTTGGTGACATAGTAAGTGCCCATATGGACAACTGGGCTCATTATAACATGCTAGAAGTGAAGGAAGATGGTTCCCAAAGGGATTGTTTGGGCAACCCTCCTACAGACCACAAACTTAGTAGTTCGGTGGGCTGTAGCTTAGAGTGTAAAGAGAAACTGGGAAGAGATGAAGCACCAAAGGCCACATCATAAAGTAATGTATAAGCCCTATTCAGGAGTATGGACTTTATCTTGAGGTCTTTGGGGTATCACTAAAGGAGTTTAAGCAGTGTCACCTTGCACTCTTCGTCTTATGAGGATCACCTTGCACAGCAATATGGCAAACATGGGAGACAGGTGAGTCTGGAGGCAAAGAGACCTGTTCTGGAGGCATTTGAAGTTATTAGGTTAATGCTGATGATACCTGTCAAGAAAAATAGCAGTGAGGATGGGTACATGAGATAAGAGGAGGTGGAATCAACCAGATGTGTTTGTTGATTGGCTAAGAGGGAGAGAGAAGAATCAAAGAAGATGCCATGTTCTTGACCTGGGAACTGGTGGATGGTAGAACTATTTGCTACTGAGAAGGGAACATAAAAGAAGAGAAGTGTTGGAGGCAAAGATCATGGATTCAGTTTTGCAATGTGTTAAGCTTTAGGTGTCTGGGGTTCATGCCCTTGTGGTCCATTGGGCCTATTGCAGCACAAGGGGCTACCTTGGGGCAGGAGATGTGAATATGGGGGTTCTCACATTTCAGGGGGTAACTGCCATCTCAGGAGTGGGTACTCCATCTCAGGAGTGTGAGAATGGAAGAGGACCTGGGAGAGAGGGTGAGAACCAGAGGATCTCACAAATCAGCTAAGGAAAAAGGGAAAGGAGAAGAGGTTGTCAGAGAGGTAGAAGGAAGAAGAGGAAGAGTATGGGGTCATGAATGCCAAGGAAAGAAGGAAATGGAAACAGTTTCCAATACTGCCAGGAGAACCAGTAAGTTGCCACTGGATGTAACCAGGGTGTCAGTGGGGACACCATTTTCAGTGCACAGATCAAGACAGAAGTTGACCAAGTGTGGAGAAATCATTCAGTTTGGGGAAGTAGAGGCAGAGCGTGTAGTCGTCTCTTTTAAAAGTTTGGCTTTGGAGGAAGAGGGTAACTGGATGGGGACATAGGGTTAGTGGAGCTTCTTTTTATTCTGTTTTATTATCCTATCTTCTCTTTCATCATATAGATGAGGTCCAGTGAGGAAGGGGTCCTGACTCAGTGGCCTCCCTATCTCTGTGACAGGAAACCCACAAGATGTGAAGGCTTCTTTAATGCTCACAACTATTAAGTGAAAGTCTTTTCTGACACAATCTACCCAGAACCGTTTTCTGGCCACAGGAACCACCTGTTTTCATTGCCACTAGATGGAAGTAGATCAACTTAATTCTTTTTAGATGTCCTTGAGGCACAGGAAGAGATGCTGGCTGGAAGAGTATTAGCATTAGTTAATTAGTTTGCTTAATTACCATAGTAATCACATTGCCATATTAAGTTTAATGGCTCACTGATTTTTACAATAAATCAATTAATGGTTGTCTATTGAACATTTTTTTTGTTGGAACAATGCTAAGCTTGATTGAGACACCAAGAAGAGTAAGGCTTTGTCCCTGACCTCAGGGACATTATTATCTAGTTGGAGAGTTAAGACAGAAATACAGAAAAAAAAAATCAGAAAAATACAAGGCATCGTATGGTAAGGGCTGATGAGTGCTATATGGGAGAATAAAAAAGATCATTTGGTTTGATGATTAGATAAGATCTTATAAAGAAGATGAAAACTGAGTTGATGCCTTTTTGTTTGTTTGTGTTTTTGAGATAGGGTCTCACTCTGTCACCCAGGCTGGAGTGCAATGGTGTGATCATAGCTCACTGTAACCCTATAACCTTGAACTTCCCCAGGAGCTAGGACTGCAGGTGTGCACAATCATACAGAGCTAGGTTTTTTTTTTTTTTTTTCCTAGAGAAGGTGTCTTGCTGTGTTGCCCAGGCTGGTCTCAAGCTCCTGGCCTCAGGCAATTCTCCACCTCCACCTCCCAAAGTGCTGGGATTACAGGCGTGAGCTGTCACATCTAGCCTTGAGTTGCTTTTTAACAAATGGATAGGATTTAGGTATATAGAGAGAAGAAGGGAAGAAAGGCAGTCTGGAGGAAGGAAATGATATAAACAATGATATGGTAGTGGGACTATGAAAGCATGTTCTGAGGCCAGTTGGTAGAACTTTCTAGAACCCGCAGTTCATTGAGGAGCAGTGAAGTATTAATAGAAGTTGAAAGGGAAGGCTTGCCCCACCAACATAGGTCTTGAATGATTCACTGGATGGTCTAGAAAGACCTGGCAAAGAACTATTTGCTCAGCTGCCTTGGGACACCTCTCATTTATTGACCAAGGTTATCTTAATTCATAGAGTTATTGAATTTTGAGTCTGAAAAGGATCTTAGTGGACATGATGTTCAAGCTCTCTTTTTAGTTGAGCTAATTTACTATAGGCCTTGAGCTAGCAACAGAGTTAGTTACAATAATGATAAAACTTTATCAAATATTAATTCCATGTTGCACACTATCCCAAATGTTTTACATGTCTTAAATAATTAAATATTGCCTACAAGTCTGTGGGAGTAGGTACTATTAACATTCCCATTATACGTAAGAAACAGGCACAGAGAAATAAAATAGCCCAAAGCAACTGAAAAAATGGCAGTGCTAAATTTGTACCCATCTGGATCCAGGGGTCATGCTATTAACCCTTATGGTTCTAGAACTCAAGACTCTTTTTGTTGTTGTTTTTGAGATGAGGTCTCACTATGTTTCTCAGGCTGGTCTTGAACTCCTAGGCTCAAGCAATCCTCCTACATCAGCCTCCCAAGTAGCTAGGGTTACAGGTACACGCCACTGTGCCCCGCTTTAGAACTCAAGACTCTTGACTCCCAGATGGGAGTTGTAAGTCTCAGACACCATCCTCTTCCAGTAATGTGATTTTTTTTCTCACATTGAAACCATAGTGTGATGGCCCTAAGGAAGGGTGGGGTAGAAGAAGTAGGGTGTGTTTCTAGAACAAGCCAAAGGTAAAATGAACGCTATCGCACTAAACACCATGTGCCAATTTTTTTTAAGACCTGGAGCTAACTTTTATAGTCCTTGTGCTCATTTCTACCAGCTTTTGGAAGGCGAATGAATGGGTCCTTGGGTACTTGTGGTTTCAATTCTTGCTGGGTTATTTTGACTCTTCTGCAAACTGGCTGTGTTTATCACTTCATTTGGTTTCTAGTGTCTAAATTCTGGCAAGGTAAAAGCTACACCCAAGATACACAGGAAGATACGATGCCAACCTCAGAGGAGGGCATATGTGAAATTTTGTTTTCAGAAACATTTTTATCTCTATATTTGCAAGCACGTTTGCAGCTGCTGAACTGTGGTTTACCCTGACAGTTCATCATGAGACCAGAGTCTCGGAATCTGGTTCTCTCCTTGAAAGGTGCTATTAAGACATACCACCTGCTCTGCCCAAAAATGACACAGTTGTGTCACACACAAAAAGTGGCATTTATTTCATGAAATTAAATTTGTCACTGCTTAAATTATATCCCACCAGAGTCAGATGTTTAGAACCACCACCGTTCCTTTCATAAATTTTTATGTTCTCTGATTTTACTTTCCATTTGAGCATGTCTTCTACTTTCCTGACTTTCCACTGTTCAAAAAACAATCTAAACCGTCCTTTAAATTCATTTGGTATGGGCACCAAGGCTGTACTGCAGAAATTTCTCCAAGTGTGGTCTATGGACCAGCAGTATAAGCACAACCAGGAGCTTGTTAGACATGCAGAATCTCAGGCCCTACCCAGACTTACTGAACCGGAGTCTGCATTTTAGAGCCACCTCTGGGGGGAAGCACAGGAAAACGTGAGAAGCGCGGCTCTCGGGTTCTCTTCCCATTTGCCTGCATCCTGAGGCCTGCATCTTGTCCGTGATTTCCAGCTGAAAGCATTTCCTCGCTCCACTTGTCCCCTTAGTGAATATTTACCTTTACTACTAGCACCTCCAGTTTTGCAATTTTTAGCTCCTTTATTTAATTTATAATCTCTTGTTTTTCTTCCAGCGTGGATGTGGATGAACCCATACTAAATCACCCTCTATGAAAGAAAATTCTTCATATGCTAAAGAGTCATTGGATTCTTCAAATCCCTCGTTGAAAAGTTTTGCATGGTGGCGTCTCCTTTATCAAAGATGAATGCGTTTCCTTCAGTGCATCTGGAAAGATTTCTACATAACCAACAGCTGCTCTGCCCTCATTTGCCCCTCACCCATCTCCCCTCCCCGAGCCCACAGGTGTTGTTCACACAGCTCAGTCTTTATATGTTCCGTGGAGAAGCAAATGAGACCGTGGGGGAAAGGATTACTGTGGATTATGAAGATGGCTGACTTTGCTCTTTCTTGACTCTTGTTTCCAGTTTCAATTCAGTGCTGTACCTGATGACATATACTTCTAAATATGATGGAAATTTGACACATATGTAACTACAGACTCAGTTTTCTCGGAGATCAAATTTAACATTGTCTGTCCTCTGTATACTGTGCAGGTAAAATTCATGGAAAATTCATAACATTGATGTTATCCTTGCTTTGCTACTCCAGCTAAGTAATGGAGTCCTCCTGCTCAAGTTGGGAAAGTCCAGTCTGCACCGTAGCCCTGCCTTGTGTAAACGGAGGCCACCCTGTTGAACAGCCTTCAGCCTCCTCACTTTCAGCCGTCTCCCCTTCTCGGCTGGCTGACTTCCACATGTAGCATTTCATGAGCACAGAACAAAAGGCAAGAAGAGAGAAATAGCCTGCACTGTTTTTTCATTTGTTTGAAGGTTTTGCTGTCTCTTTTTTATTAGACACATTCATATTTCTTGAAGTCAAAGCTGCTTTTGTCACCACTATATTGTTAATAAAGAAACATCAGCGCTGGAATGCTAGCTGCAGGTGATATCTCTTTGAGATGTTATATAGAAGAGTTACAACAAGTAAAGAGATTCCCTGACTCATGTTAAATGCTCCCTCTTCCCCTGCCCCCAAATCTCTTATCCACTCACCTAGATTCTATCTATTCCTTAAGATTCATCTCAGGCATCCTTCACTCTTGACGCTTCTTTTATAACTAGCCCTTAACCAGTCCAACCCACGACAATCTTCCCTTCCTGGCTTCCCGCTGCAAGGTTAGTTTGTACCACAGAATTTTGTGCATTAATACAGCCTGGTTTTTTTTAAGGTTACCTAGTTTGTTATTTTAAAAACTATCATATGTTATGTTTTCTCCCCAATGAGATTGTACGCTTAAGGGTAGAGATTGTGCCAGATACCTGAAATGTCTAGTTTGCTACTTGACACTCAATAAATGCATGTTCAAATAAATCGGAAAGTGTGTACAGTGTACTGTTGATAAAAGTTTCAGCAAACTCTCTCTCTCCATGCCATCTGATGACCTGGATAGATACTCACCTAATGTCAAGGGCTGAATTCTTATGAGAGAATGGGGCCCTGTTAGAAACCAGTTGGAAATACCTCCTTATCGCATGACCAGTATAGCTTTCACACAAATTTGCACATGTTAGGAGAATAATAATGGTAAGGACATTTTTTTCCAAAGCCATCTCAAATTCTGCATTACAGTAAGGGCCGTTGCAAAAGATTCTCCATGCTGTACACACTGTAAAGCTAGGATGTGTTGTTCACATTTGTGTGGCTTAGGCTGTATCCCATGGAGTTGTACAGTGCACAACCTGCACAAAGTCACATGGCAGCCCTGATCGCAAGTGTTTATTCAACTAAAACACCACAGTCAAGAAACCCAAGTGGAGACTACCTCTTGGGATTGAGATTTGTATAGATTTTAAAATACAGACCTATATTCAAGCCTTAAGGTTACTATGTGATCTTACCAATTATATCATGCCATGTCCCATAAATAAAGACTCATAATATAAATTTCTCCAAAGGCCTTGAACATAAACTCCCTGAGACTTAATTCCTTTGCCTATAAAATAAGAATGAGGTCTGCCTTGCTTACCTCACAGGGTTATTGTGATATTATCTCAAGTATGAAATTGCTTTGTGAACTGAACCTTAAACATAGATTTTTTCCCCCACCCAAATCTCACCTTTCATGCTTTCTTGGTGTAGGATTCTGGATCTTACCCAAAGTCTGGAACTGAAACAGCTCTGAGGCCTTCTCCTGAGATTAGGAACCAGAAGGTCCTTCACTGGTGTCCAGATAGGAACCCAGCCCTCAGATTTTCCCTGCAGAAGGTCAGCTCTGCTACCTGCACCCTCACTGGATGAGGTGGAGTCAGGGGACAGGAGTCAAAGGCACCAGCTGGAACCCTGCCTCTACTTCTGTGATGTGACCCAGGCAAATTGCTACCTTCTTTGAACTGCAGATTTATGTATGAAATGGGGGTCCCATTATCTATCTTGTACGCTTGGGCTCCAGATTAAATGAAATAACTATTTTATCCCATTATCTAGAATACAAACTCTGTCCAAGGAACATAGAATTATCCATTCCTTCGGATTTGTTCACCAGATCAATGTGCCTGGGCTATATTATTGTAGTTTCCAGCAGAAATATTTCAACAAGTTAAAATCTAATTCTATCAATTTAGCTCTAATAAGAAAAATTTGTCAGCTGATTGTCACACACCCCAGCTTTCACCCCTTGGCTTCTCTGGGCCTGTGCTCTGTTGTTTGACACATGTCCTAAACAGACCCAGATCTGTAATGATTTAATGAGAAGTAAAATAAGGCAAGAAAGAAGTTTCATATCCAAATCATACTGTGGAAAATTAATAAATTTATCCTTTAGATATCTTTGTTCTTCCCCTCAAAGTTCCTCTTATCTGCCAGCTGACCTGTCTCTACACTTTACCTTTTCTCCAAAGTTGTTCTAAAATGTCCCTCTCTTGACTTCAGCAATTTGGTTCTTTCCTTCTGTTCACCTGTCTTATTTAGGAAAAAAAATCTGCCATCACCAAAACAACCCACAACTCAAGACAAGGGACAGGGACATTATTAGGAGAAATAATGAGATCTTCACCTCCCCTTGGCCTTGGCAGTCTTGTTAAATCTAGTGGGCCCCTGACATTTTATGAGACACATACACCCTTCCCTCCGTGACTCTGGAAGGGTTTCAGTTGGATCTAATCTAATCTTTACTCAGCATCTTGGTATGAAGCTTGGTCCTACTAACAGACCTATAGTAGTGATTCCAGAACAATTAACGACTGTTTTAATAGTAGTAGTGACCATAGTGATGGTAATAATAATATGCAATTAAGGTGCTCTATGTAAGAAAATGCAGAGGAGTGAGTTTTCTTTGCTGCTGTGAGGGCATGAGAAGGAACGAAAGAGAAGATAGGAGGTAGAGGAGGAAGAACTGGAAATGATGTGAGAAGCTGAAGGACTCCGTGGGGGCAGCCTGGCCTCTAGGATTAATATGGGTTTCAATAGTGTGATTCCCCCGTGTTGCATTGATCTCTGTAAACATTCTGCTGCAAACACAGACTCGCATTCAGGCTGCTTTGATGGAGGAGTTTAGGGTGAAAGTGCTGCTTCCTTAGTTTGGGGAAATAGATACGAAAGAATAGCCACAAAAAGGCAAAGTTGGAACAACCTATTTTGGCAGAAACAATGCATTTAGAAGAAAATCAGTGCCAAGGTGAGCAAGAAAATTAAACTCTGGGAATTTTGAGAACGCTTAGAGAGAGTTTTGGGCTTCCACAATTACCAGTATTTTTAATCCATTTTATGTGGATTTTAGGGGGCAAAGATTTACTACCTGACATCCGGGTTACATTCCTCATAGCATTTAATCTTTGGCCATATGTGAAATTAACCCATTTTAAATTTTAGGAAACTGAGGCTCAGAGATATTAAATAATTTGTCTAAGTCCATATAGCTAGACAATGTCTGTACAGTTAGTATCTGTTTAGTAGATGAAGAAAGGTAGTATAAAAAGAGCTGTGTGTGTAATGCTGACATGAAAATGGAATAAAATATTACTCAGAATAGATTTGATTGTAAACAGTCTCGCTGATGTGAGCAGTCCCAAATTATGCAGCCATTTCCCAGTTCATAAGAAAATCACCCCTTGAACACGATCTTGAGAGAGTGGGCTGTGTCTCAGCTCAGCGTCCTCAGAATGACCTCTACAGCAGGAGGACAGGAGGGTGATCACCATGGTTGTTGAGTGATAAATGACATAGGCATGTTTAGCAAAAAGAGAGGTCTAAGACGTGGGATGATGATTTTCAAAAAATCAATTAAGCATTTGCCAAAAATGTACTATTGCAAGAAATGTTACCACGGGCTGTGGACACACAGGGGCAGAGTTCCTGCCCTCAGGGACCCAGCAGCTGGAGGGGGAAGGAAGGTAAACAGCCGTAACTTCGAGTTCAGGTGGTGTGCACCATGGCTGTGCCAAGGGTGTCCCTCAGAGATGCTGCAGCTCAGAGGAGGGAGAGACCACCTGGCAAAGGGCAGCAGAATTCAAAAACAAATTAGATCCTACAGAGGTTCAGTTCAAAATATGGGAGAGTCAAGTAACTAAGACGAAGGCATTGAAGTCAGAGATGTCAGACAGATCATATTGGCTTAACAGAGATTCAGGATGAAAAAGACATGGAGTGGCTTTAAACTCCAGACTAAAGCTTGTAAAATTTGTACTATAGTTTCTGGAAAACTTGAACAAGTGAGGGACAGGATCACAGTGATATTCTGGGAAGATTAAGAGGTCTGAGTAAACGTTTAGGAGTGGAGAGAAAAGGAAGCAGGGGAGACTAGGCAGTAAATGTAATTATTCAGGCATGACGATGAAGGTGGGGCAAGGAAAGTTCCAGTGTGAAGCATTGTGAACACTTTGGTCTCTGACCTGTTGGGGTTGGGGGTGGGGGATGGGGAGGGTGTTGGCTGGCAGGGGGCGTCACAAAGCATTCAGAGAGGAAAAACATAAAACAATAATTCTGGTTAAATATGGCTTATGCAAATGGCTGTTTTTCAGATATCTTGTAGGAAAGTCCCTCCTTTGTTATATTTCCTCTGCATGAGCTTATCTCTTTTATTCTTAATTTAGGACTGAGTCAAGGATGTGGCCAAATGGGCTATGGATTCATGAAGACAAGTAGAGGAGACTGTAAAAGGGAAAAGCCCCAGATCTAAGTGCTCTTAAGGAATCAATTATGACCCTTAAAAGAAAGCAATCTTAGTTCAGTTTCAGAAATACAGTCTGCAGACTGGCCAACTCTGGTCTCAATGTGTCAGGAAGCCTCCGAAATGTCTGTCCATTGGGCTCACCTCTGTGTGGTCGGTTTCATGTGGATTTAGAGTAAATGGGCAGAATGCATGTTTGATGATGTGCATCATTGTGCTAATTACTTCTGGAGAATTATATGAACATTCTAGTATCACATCAATCAGTATCTCCTTGGAAAGCATATACGTACAGCAATGATTTCCAAACTTTCTGTTATGAGGAATACTCATAAAAGTTAAAAAGTTACAGGATAGAAGTTGTATTTTACTGCTCAATAACTGAGAAAAATACAGATGTGCATATGGATTAAAACAGAAAACGATTCCTTGTTCTGGGAAAACTTAAGGCCCAGAGAGAGACTAGAAACCACTGCTCATTCCTACACTCTGCAATACCTGTAGAGAGCCCAACTTTATAGAAGTTAGGCTTTTTAGCTTCAGAAAATTGTATAGACACCTGCAATTCACATGCAAAAATATCTGTAAGTAACTCGGGGCTTCCTTCTCTTGTAGTGCAATGGGAGGGAGCAGACTAGAGTGTATCTGAGATTCCTTCTAGCTCTAATTCTTAGTGACTCTGTGACTTGAGTGTCCTTCCCATCCCTTTGAAGTTTAAGAGCAAATTTAGCAACATTGTGGCTTCACTATGCTGTGTGACTTGGAAAAATTACTTAAAATGTTTATGCCAATTTCCTCATCAGTAAAATGGTGGCAATGGGAGTATATCCCTCATATGGTAGTTGTGTGGATTAAATGGGTTAATACATGTAAAGAATTTATTACAGTAACTGGCAAATAGTAAGCACTCAATAAATGATAGCTACTGGTATGAAAATAATAGTTATTAATTTCAGAAGACCTGTGCTTGCATCTGGATCTGGCACTTAGCAGCAGTGTGGTCTTAGGTGTGCGTTAGTTGGCTATTCCGGTACCCTTATTGGACTCAGGCAAGAGTGGCCACTCCTCTGGAAGCCCTTTCAACAGTGCGAAGAGTTCATGGAATTAAGGAAACATGTCTTCTGGAGCCTGGACCCTCCTCTGTGGAGCACACTACCCAAACTGTCCCAAGCTTGCTTCCAGAGCCTGCATGGACCT